CCCCCCCCCCCCCCCCCCCCCCCCCCCCCCCCCCCCCTCCCCAGGGCCATTCCCCCCCCGTTCCCCCCCCCCCCCCCATTCCCAGTGGATCATTCCCCGTTCCCGCTCCGTGCCCACCCCTGTCGTCCCTCCGGAAGTCGTCCCTGCCGAAGTCATCCCTGGAGTTCCAGCGGTCCCCGCGCTCGTCCCGGCGCTCGTAGCGATCGTCGTAGCCCCGGAAATCGTCGTCCCGCCGGAACCCGCTGCCGAAGGGCCTGCGGCCGCCCCCCATCCGGGAATCATAGCCTGTGGAATCCATGGATATATAATGGGAATGGCCACCCCCCATCCGGGAATCATAGCCTGTGGGATCCAGGGATACATAATGGGAATGGCACTGGGAATGGACCTGGGAACGGCCACTCCCCATCTGGGAATCAAACCCTGTGGGATCCAGGGATATAATGGGAATGGACCTGGGAAATGCCAGCCCCCATCCAGGAATCAAACCCTGTGGAATCCATGGATACTGTGGGAATGGACCTGGGAATGGACCTGGGAACGGCCACCCCCCATCTGGGAATCAAACCCTGTGGAATCCATGGATATGATGGGAGCGGACCTGGGAATGGCCACCCCCCATCCAGGATTCATACCCTGTGGAATCCATGGATACATAATGGGAATGGCACTGGGAATGGCCACTCCCTATCCGGGAGTCAAACCCTGCAGGAACGGCACCGGATACAATGGGAATGGTACTGGGAACGGCCCTGGATACAACGGGAATGGCACCGGGAACAGCAGGAATGGCCCTGGGAATGGTGGGAACAGCCCTGGGAACAGCCCCAGAGACAGCGGGAATGACCCCAGGAACGGCGGGAATGGCCCCAGGAACAGTGGGAATGGCCTCAGGAACAGTGGGAATGTTCCCACTCCTTCCAACCCTGGAATTCCCTTGGGAACGTCTCATTCCATTCCTTTGGGAATGCCCCGTTCCTGCTCTTTCCACCCCCGAAACTCCTCTGGGAACGTCTCATTCCCGCTCCTTCCAACCCCGGAATTCCCTTGGGAACGTCTCGTTCCTGCTCTTTCAACTCCTGGAATTCCTTCGGGAATGTCTCGTGCCCGCCTTGGGAATGTCTCATTCCCGCTCTCTCCACCTCAGGATTCCCTTGGGAATGTCCTTTTCCCGCTCTCTCCACCTCAGAACTCCTCTGGGAATGTCTCATTCCCGCTCTCTCCACCTCAGAACTCCTTTGGGAATGCCTCATTCCTGCTCCTTCCACCCCTGGAATTCCCTGGGAACGTCTCATTCCCACCTTGGCAATGTCCCATTCCCTGGAATTCCCGGCATTCCCTGGCATTCCCGGCATTCCCTGGAATTCTCAGCATTCCCTGGCATTCCCTGGCATTCCCAGCTCACCCCGGTCATAGTCCCTGCTCCGGTCGTCGTAGCGGTCGCGGCTCCCGAATCCACGATCCAGGTCCCGCCGCGGCCCCTCCCGGAACCGATCGTCGTAACGATCCCGGTACCCTGCGGGGAACAGGGAATGGGAATGGGATGGGAATGGGAACGGGGGCGTGGGATGGGAATGAAGGAGCTCTGGGTGGGAATGAACTCTGGGAATGAACAAGTTCCAGGTGGGAATGAAGGAGCTCCAGGAGCTCCAGGTGGGAATAAATGACCCCTGTGTGGGAATCAAGGAGCTCCAGGTGGGACTCAACAAGCTCCAGGTGGGAATGAGGGAGCTCCAGGTGGGAATGAGGGAGCTCCAGGTGGGAATGAGGGAGCTCCAGGTGGGAATGAGGGAGCTCCAGGTGGGAATGAGGGAGCTCCAGGTGGGAATGAAGGAGCTCCAGGTGGGAATGAGGGAGCTCCAGGTGGGAATGAGGGAGCTCCAGGTGGGAATGAAGGAGCTCCAGGTGGGAATGAAGGAGCTCCAGGTGGGAATGAAGGAGCTC